AGGGAAGGAGGGGAAGAGGGAGGGAAGGAGGGGAAGAGGCGAAAAGGGAAGGGTGGGTGAATCCTGAAGGGGCATGCCTGGAGGGGCGGGGGCGTGCGTGGGCGCACGGGAGCTCCTGGAGCGCGCCGTGCATCGGGATGAAGGGCCACCCCTGCGGTAATGGGATCGGAAAGCGCCCTCCCAAGGGCCCCGAGGGGCAGGGAGGGAGGAGGGAGAACAAGGGACGGCGCCCCGCGGGGGTGCCCTCGCTGGCGCACGTCAGAGAGCGCCGAAATATTACACGGCCATCTTGCGCGCGACGGGAAATGCAAGCCGCGTAGAAGGCTCCGGGCTCGGACAGCTCGGCGCGACCAATGGAACTTTTGACGCGGAGGGGCGACAAACTTCCTTTTCGACTGATTCACCGACATACGTACTCCGAGAGCCAATGTTTTAGAGCCATCACAATGGAGCGTACTTTTTTAAAGAATGAAAATTATACTAAATCATTATATATATTTATTTATTAATTATAAGACAATTCTCAATTGGAATACAAGAGTTTTTTTAATACATGTCTATGCGATTTCCTATACTGTTTACGAAACAGGGATAGTCTAAGTAGTATGCTGTAAAATTGTCAAATGTCCAATGAGGCGGGTTAATTTTGTTTAATTTTGAAAATATGTTCCCCTCACCTTATCAGTTAAGGGGAGATCAAAGAGCTTTTAACTTTGCGAAAATAATTATCATATTAATAAAATTCTGGTATAAAATTATTGACGTGAAGAATTACTTTATTACATTGTTCGTTTTCTATATTTTCTAGATGCATTTTAAATTAATATTTTAAACTTCAGCAAATCTTCGCTTCACTTCGCTGACAGACACTGGTTATTGATCTTTTTTCTCCTTATGTTTTACATTGATCTCTTTTTTATCTCTTTTCTATAATACATTGAAATATCTTTAATTATCAGTGCCGATATTTAATCATAACACATCAAGATTTATGTGAAGGATCGAACGGAGTTTTAAGAAAAGGTAAGACTATATTTTGAAAAAATCTTAGCGAAGGTTACCTTTTCGCTTGTCCATTCCTTTCATTTATCCTACTATTTATTTTTCGTTTGAAATACCAGGTGGAAAATGACCCTTTGGCCGAGAACTTCTCCTAGGCAAGTTCGGTTTTTACTTATTTTTTTGCATATTTTTTACTTATATTTTCTTTGAAACCAGTTCCTACCTTGGATTCCGAAGACGGATCAGGCATTCGAGCAGGCATGGTTCTTAGGCATTCCTCGTAGCATCTGCATGTAACTTTAGCATTCTCCGCCAAATTCAGATTCACAAATATATTTTCTGCTCATAAAACGTAAAGTTAGCTTAAGAAAGTATTTCGTCCAAGGAGATTTTCCGAGCATCTGCTGGGATTTTTTTATAAACCACAATGGCACCAATATTTAAAATATATGCAGTTTTCCAACCCCTTACCATAACAGAAATATTATTTTAAATTTCAAAACACTAAAATAAAATTAACTCAACTAAAAATTAACGTAATCAACTCAGTTTATTACTAATTCATTTAACAAAGCTTAATAAAATTAAATAATCACGCATAAAAATTCTGTAAACTCTGTGAGGTTCTTCCTTTATTGAGTTAGAATACTTCATTAAAATTTGCAGGTGTCCATTCACGAGCAGTTGAATTTTCTTTAATGGCATCACAAGCGACGGCACGAACGATACCAATCTGCAATAATGAAAATGATCACAAAAATTATTTTTAGCACGAATTAACACACACACGGGCGCGTACGCACGCGCGCGTAACTGCACAAGATGGCTCATTTAATCCACACAGATGAGACTCGTTACCTAGTACGCTTTATTAAAAGGCAGTCAATTTTTTCACAAAAGACACTGCGCTCTCCAAAGGCACGTTTGCAATCAACAACAAAATAAAATTAAAATAATTTTACCAAATCTCCTAAGTACTGCATTTAACACATTTAAAATTGCCTTAGTTCGTCTATCTTTGAAGCAAATATAAATGAAGACTCGTATTTATATTGATCCCTTTACACGGCCACGGAAAATTGTTTGATTACTCCACGTTTCCGAGGGCGTCAACTAGTCATTAGTCCCGTAAGTACAGTGCTTGTTTTATCAAGAGAGGTGGCGGTGATCTTACCGTCGTATGGTGAGATGCGGCTCCGAATTACATGTCGGCATATACGGTTTCCCCAATTAGGTATCGCCCCAGCCGGGGTAAGCTCTAAGGTTCCGACCGGTCTCGCAGCATGTGTGGTAATGTAATTCATGAAAGTGAATTCATGAAATTTATTTAAAGTAAAAAGCAGAAAATAACTATGTGACATACATAAAGAAATAGCATGTGAACCCCGCCTGTGTTTTCTGAGGTCCGGAATCTCTACACTCTGTCTTTTGCTCTAATCTTTCAGTTGAATTAGAAATAAAGATAGCAGCATAAAACAAATGAAAATTTATTCTTCAAGCCTCAACGGAAATAATGAAAATTTTTTAAATGTTTGTATTTAAAAAAATAATATACCCAATTTTTATGCTTTTATCTACATGCATGAACACTTTAATACTAACTTGTTATCCGCCTATAGTAGTTGTGTTCAACTCGCAAGGCCTCAGCAACTGGAACCTCCAATACGTTCGCAGGCCATATTTTCATCACTGGGGCCATACACACCTGAGTTTCTTGTTGTCTGCACTTTGCCCGGCAGCTCTGAAACGGGAAGGGAGGAACCGTCCGAAATATCAGACCCTTCCATGCAGAACGCACTGAAACACATTGGGAAGATTTTGTATTTCTAAATTTACTAGAAAACAATCAAGAAATCTAAACTTAACCTACTTTTTATTAAATTTGTTGTTCATTAAAAAAGTTGGTCTCGGCAGCGCCCGTGGGCTAGGCGTCTAATGTTCTCGCCTGAAATGGAGGAGATGGATTTTCACTTATTGGTCATAAGTTTTCGCGGGCCACAATAAATGTCACCGCAGGTCGCCAACTGGACAGCCCTGGTTTATAGGGAATCAATACTACACAGACCTAAAACCGACGAGACTTTTTATTATAAATTATGAAACATTATTTGTTTCACTATACCATACAGAGCGTGATAACTCTATTCAATACACATAGAACCCATAAAGCCTTTGTTTCAGTGGCAAGAATATAAGAATCCTAAACCTACATTAAATAGTGTCAAGTGCTCGGTGGCATGGGTTAGTTTTATTTAATCGTTCTGAAAATGTAAGTCACCAATTTTATAATTAAAAGCAATTATCTGTTGGGGGGCAATAAAAACTACCGATAAAGTAATTGCCCATCGTGTGAAAGACTCATCAGGGAGATCTAATTGTAAATCTTGCGATACACCATGACAGTTAAATGGTAAAAAAAGGTTCTGCAGCTGTGTCCAGCTGAATGTGCGCAACTTTTTTTCTAAATGCATTTAAGTACTGTTCGATATGTAGAAACCTTCAAATTTGTAAAGTTGAATGTGTGTTATTCAGAGCATTTCATCTGATAAACAAAAAAATGTTCAGACGGGAATATGTGGAACAAAAAATATAATCCATTAATGTGTATGTCTAATGTTATACTTAACAGGTTAGAATTCATGCTTATCAAATGTAAAAAATGTATGCTTTTAATTAAAAATATACTAATCGTCACGAGTGTCACCCACTCGGAAATACAAAAAATTCCAAACATTTTTTTTACAGAACGAATATCTTTGACAAGAATAAATGAATTCGAGCGATTCAATCAAGGACAACTTTACAAATACTTGAGGAAGACAAACATGGTTGAAATAGCTTTCTGGAACTGAATGATTATTCTCCAATGTCTTATTAACAAGATATGATACCGAACGCGCACTTTCAATCTTTCTATTATGGACAGGTTTTGGGCTATTTTCTACCAGTGTGTGTCGTCAGAACTCGAACCCTAGAATTCTCCGATCACAGGCACAGCAATGACATTAGTTGATGTCTTGAGTAATTTTAGATGGTAAAACATTGATATTCCCGGAGTCCCTCAAAAGCTATCAACTACAGAAATGGGCAGCCGGTGATGCCATCCCCAACGCTGGTATCACGAGGCGGTTTCTACAAGTCGCACAGTACTGAAATGCATCCAGAAAAACGAATCGGACCGAATCCTCGCAAAGTTAACTGAAAGGGCCGCGCGCCCTGTCAGGGTCATGCTTCACAATGCTGAAACGCTCATATAAGAGTGACGACATATCGACGCGTTCTCCGGCTTGCGAGCAACCGTGAAATGAAGCAACGTAAGGATCCTCTTTCATTGCAGACGTTTTGCGTAGCGTGAAATACCTTAATTTATACCGCTTTTTAGCCTTTACACACGCGCAACTCTAACTGCGCATGCACCGCGGCTCAAAACAGGTAAATTTCACGCTGCGCGAAATGGCTTTATTTCCAAATGAACGCCGAGATTGCTGCAATATCTCGATTGAATGGCATTAAATCGAAAATGTGTTCCTGAAATCCTTTACATAGCAATAGGATAACGTGCGTGCATTCGTCTGTCACTCACGGTTAGACTTTACCGTCCACCTTTTGAAGAATATGAGGCATGATTCAAAGCGTGTTGGTTTTCGTGGGTAACTGATGACCTTTTCCAAATCTTTCAAGAACATTCTAAGAAATATTTTGATAAAATGGATTTTGAGAGCATATCATCTAAAAAGCATTTGGGGAAGTTTTAGCTCTTCAGTAGCTGCGAGAATTACTATTTTAATCCTGCATTTTTTTATTTCCTACGTACAACGAGAGATTGGGAATGAATTTTTCAGGACCTTCTCTATACGGCTCATCACATGTTTTATTGCGAAATATGACTAAAAGGTTTACTAAAATATCACTACAATGATGAGAGGTAAATGATCAAGATAAATAATTATGAATTAAACTATGGCTTAGTTGGGGTGAGTACAGGAAGCTATTCATGACCTTATCACAAAGCAAAAACTCCCATGCTTTAAAGCACACAAAGCAAAATTCGGCTCCTTGTGATTGTAGCCGTTTTAAGCTGTACTCTACCAAGAATGGCTATTCATTTTTTAAATAAACATTTGTTGAAAACCGAGTGAAGTGGCTCAGGGCGTAACGCGCTAATTTCTCATTCGGGAGGTCCGGGTTCAATCCCCGTGCAGCCGGTCATCCTGACTGGGATTAAAATAGTTTCTATCCAGGCAAACGCTGGTATGGTTCTAGTGAAAGGCCACGACCGCGAAACCGACTTCGCTAGCCGAATTTGTTAACTACGTGAAGTCATGGGGGTTACGCAAATTCGAGACATCGTGTGTTCCTGGTTAGGTGATCGACTAGAAACCTCGGGATCTAATGGCACCAAAGCCAAGGGTTTTATAATGTCTAAATGCAAATACAAATTTGTTGGGACATTCGAATTGCGGATACTTCAATTGAATCAAAAGGAGTCCAGCGACCTTCAATGAACACCCCGT